TTGTCCACTGGGTTCTCTGTATTCATAACGGGGATGATATTAGTAGCTATTCCACCTTAGAGAGTTGTGAGAAGTAAGACACGATGTGTAAATCTTTAATAAATATTATTTTTTTGTTGTTGTTTGTTTTGGGAACAGTGCCAGTAACTCTGAAATGCTGTAATAGTCCCTGTCATTATTTTCTTTCTAAAAATTTCAAAGATTTCTTGGCCACGATCACACCTTAATTTTTCTATTTACGTTGTTGAATTTCAATTCATCAAACTCTAAGAAAAACATGAAAGCACAATAAAGATTTCAATTGATAGTGCATTAGATTTATATATTAAGTGGGGGAAGTTTGACATCTTAGAAAATTGAATCTTTTCATCTACGATGTTAACATTTATTTAGGTTTTGTTTTATGCTCTTTAATTACATTGAGGCCGAAGAATTGATTTTCCTAGCTTTCCCCTTGCTGTCCTTGGCACTGGCTCTCCTCCCTCAGAACAGGCAGAGGCAGCTTCAGAATTTCATTAACACTTTGAGATATTGTCTCTTTCTAAGTCATTCAAACAGCCTTGTGAGGGGTGATGGGGCATTTTGATCTCATAGATGAGGATTGTAAAAGGAAGGAACAAAGGAAAGTAATAATTTTAAACACCTATGTATCAAATGTTTATATTTTTAATTAATCTTAGGCAGGTCTACTATCCCTATTTTTCATACAAGGAAACTGACGTTGAGAGAAGTTAAATCAGTGTGGCCACGGCACACAATTAATGAAGGGAAAGAGCTCAAACCCTGGAATTGGGACCTCCAGATCAGATGTTCTAAAAGACAGTGGCCACTACTCCCCTGCTTGTGCTGTCTCGTCCTCTGCATTTGTCATTTTTCTAAATCAAGTTGATTCCAGACAAATTGGTCTGGTTTTGGGGGCAAGCTGCCCTTCCCAAGTTTAGTTTTTGAACCTGTCAGAATGGCAGTGCTTCCCAGGAGTCAACCAAGAGTGCTTGTCTTTCTGTTTCATAGGACATGGTCTGGGTGCCCAGAGGCCTAGTTGTGGACAGTACCTAGCAGGAACCCTGGGTAGAAGGAAAATTGACAAAGGTCCCCAATTTTCTCATACACTTGAGTCTTGCTGTTGTTGTTGTTGTTGTTATTATTATTATTATTATTTTGGTTCCAGGGATTGAACCCAGGAGCTCTTAACCACTGAGCCACATCCCCAGCCCTTTTTAAACATATTTTACTTAGAGACAGGGTCTCAATGAGTTGTTTAGAGCTTTGCTAAGTCACTGAGGCTGGCTTTGAACTTGCAATCCTCCTGCCTCAACTTCTGGAGCCTCTGGGATTGCATGTGAGTGTCACGGCACCCGGTGGGAACTTCCATTATTAATAAGCGATGAGAATGAGAGTGACTAGGAACAGGTGTTTGATCTGGACTTTCCTTCCCACTAAGCATCCTCAGCCAGGAAAGAGCCTTTCTCCTAGCACAGCAGCCCTGGCCGTCAGCAGGGGTGTCTGATGCCCTGTTGTTCCTGAGTATGTACACTGCAAGGGTCCATCACTTGTCCTTTTGTCATTTTTACAGAGACAAGGTATCAAATGCTTGTTTTTCTGTTTTTCACAGTGGACACTTGAGTGAGGAGGCAGAATTTTAATCTCCTCCCTGATTCTTCTTATGTATGTATGTGAATGTACATTTATTGCCTCTCTAATATTTCAATGGAATGGCTCCTGCTGCAGAATCCTGGCTCTGAGAAGGACCCCAGGAGGCCACCTGCCCCAGTGTCTGCTGGCTTCAGTTTCACTTGAAGAAACTGTTTCATATATTGAGACTTTGAGTAATGTTTCATTAGATAAAAATACTTTTTTAAGAGGGAAGGAATTCCAGAGGTGCACATATAAGCATTCTGCTTACTTTCCTAGATTGTTTGGATGGTGATAATTTGGGGTGAAGGCAGATCTGAATGACTGTGAGGACACTGGAAATAGGATTTATGTCTTGGAAACTCAGCAAGTATTTCTAGAGCACCCATCCTGCCAAGGATGTCGAACAGCTCCATAATGGCACTCCCTGGAGTTGAGCAATGCAATGACCTCACATGACCCTGTGTATAACTAACTATATTAGATGCCCTTTGATAGGGGTACAAGGTGGTAAGAGAGAAAATAGTTCAGGACTCTGCTCTTGGAGTGGATTATGACATATTTAAAGAAACAGTCCCTAGTTGTTAAGTTTTTTTGGGGGGGGAGGGTAGTCAATACATAGCAGCACCCTGCACATGTCAGAACCCATCAGGATATAAGAATCAGGAAAATAAAGGTTGGAATATCACTTTTGTGACAAATAAAGCTGATCCTGGAGAGCATAGTTTATATCTATGAGCAAGAGAGTTTCTAAAAGTGAACCCTTCAATCTTAATTACCCACCTGTCTCAGGTAGCACTGGAGAACTGCAGGCTTCTTCTCCCACTAGCTATCACCGCTGCCCCTTGCTTTTCCTCCTAACATGTATAGCATGGGGGAGCATGCTGTTTGAGTTACATGTCCAGTTCTTTCCAAGTCCAGAGGAAAAGACTTGAGTGTTACATTCAAAGATGCCCCCTGCCCACCACAGGGAAATACCCTATCAAAGAAAAGGAAATTCCTACCCTCAACAAGCCCCCTTGATGAACTCAAATTGAACTCTATGGCAATACATACCAATTATATGAATTTTGGATACTAGATAGATTTTTAGATATGGAAGGGGAATGATCAGAGTAGTACATGTTTAATCAGGGAACATTTCTGGAAAAGGCAGCGGGCACACTTTCATGGAGAGAGGCATACAATATGAACAGATTGACCTGTTGAACTGGGTAGAGTTTGTGATGAACTTGAACTGTGGAAAAATGAAAAAGGCCACCTAAAATGGCTAATATGGTGGCGTTCAAGATCTCAGAGATGTGGGTTAGCATCATTGACTGCAATAGCTGAAATATGAAGATTAGATGGAATAGTTCCAACTGAACAAGTTCCTGGGCATCTGGCCCAGATGGTGTGGTGTCATGCATCTGACTTCATCTAAGAAGGGGATGGTACTGGGGACTTTAGCAAGATGACACTCTTGGTATTAGACATGATGAGTGGTGCTCCTCTCATTGGATTTGTTACTAGTTTGATAAATTAGAAGTGTTTTCATCTGAAAAATAACTACCTAAGAATTTTTGAAACAAAAAGAAAATGGTTTTCTGGTTTGTTTCCTTTTTGTTTTACCAGCTAGGATACAACTGAAAGCTGTGAGTGTGTGGGCTCAATTGCCGTGATGCTTTCTTTTGGGCTTTCTGATGCTTTTTTGAAAATGGTTTAAAATCCCACAGATTCTGAGGAGGGGACTGGGAGAAATAATAACAGACCTTCCAAGAACAGTAAATAATTCAAAGGTCATATATATATATATATTTTTTGATCTTGAAATGCCATGTGTAATTTTTATATGGTAGATTTTTTTCTTTCAAAACATGTTTTTCTTACAGTGACATTACAGTCTGTTGGTTGTCTCAGAACACCTAATAACTGACAGCTAAAATTATGCAAATAAAAATGAAAGAAGATTTAAGGCAACCATGAATGAATACACACACACACACACACATGCACACACACACACATAATCAAGATTTAAGAGAATACATTTCCATTGGATCTATTTTCTTCCTCTTTATACATTTTAGGGCTATTCATACTTCCGTATGAATAAGTGGTATATCCAAATCTGTAAGCTAGTTATAGTCAGAGAAGTTCAGGAAACCTTCAGGGTGTCTATTTTCATCTCCAAGATTCAATGAGTTGTCTGTTCTCTATCTCATACTATGAAATAATCTATGGGAATGTTAGCACAATGCCTGGAACACAGGAAACTCTCTAACACTTAACATCATGGGGAAATATTACTAGGCTTTAATTTGAAAATTGAAATAAATAGTATGTCAGATATTATCTCTTGTATACAAATTCAACAAATAGTTACTAATTTCATCTTATATGCCAGATGCTATTTTGGGAACTTGGATGCAAGAACTAGATGGGGAGGAACATACCTTGGCTCTGGGTCTTATTTAATTTAGTATCACAGAATATATTGGTGCTTCTTGCTGTGGTGTCCTCTATGGACAGAAAGGGTTTATTTTTCCTATTTTTTTTGAAGCAAGAGAAGCACTATGAAGATACTTAGTCATAGCTACCTGACAGAGTGCCTGTCTAAGAAGCCAGTGAAATGAACTCTGCCCATCTCCTTCTATGGCTATGGGCATAAAGAAGAAGAGCTTGTTTATCACCACATTAGCTCAGGAACAAGGGTTGAAGTTGAAACATTCATTGAGGCACTAATATGATCATAGTCCAACTTGTAATCTTTCCTTTCTGGGAGACTTTGCTAGGGAAATCATCATGGTCTTCCTTTCCTTCTTCAATTTCTTGTCACTTGCCATCATAGTGAACCTTTGGGATTTTTATTTTAGAGAGAAGAACTTAGAAATATAGTTTCTAACCTGTGATTGAATTATGTGAGCAAAGTTGATGGATTTGCAAACTGGACTTTGACCTTGGGGCCCCTTAGCAATGAATTTGAAATTCAAGTTTGTAGGGTCTGCAGGCCATGGTTGGCAGTACCCTTCTTGGCCTGCACTCTTTAATGTCTCCTATGTGGTCTAAGGTAAGTAGTTAGGTCCCCTTACTAAGTTTCTTCTCTATGATCAGATGAGGTTTTCAACCTATTTCCTGTTTTACAAGGGTTAAGAGATTTGTACTTACAAAGTTATTTGACCAGAAGAAAATCCCCACTGTGTTGTTACTAAGAAAGATTTTATTCCAGCAAGGAAAGAATTAATGGTGTAATACATCAGTACCTGAAGGAATGAGACCATTTAAAAAAATGAATTAATATTTGTACCTATTCATTCCTAAGTCTTTGCTTCCATAGTCCCTCAAATGAGAATGCAAATTACTGACCAACCTTTTAATATTCCTTTCAGGGACACCTGTGTGGTTCTTTGTGAAAATTGCTCCAATTCGAAACGAACAGGATAAAGTGGTTTTATTTCTTTGCACTTTCAGTGACATAACTGCTTTCAAACAGCCGATTGAGGATGATTCATGTAAAGGTTTGTAATTCTGATTTGTACAAATACATTTATACCTTTTTTATTTTCTCATCTTGAGTGTAACTTTTGCTACAGAGAATTTGAGGTTGTCAAGGCAATCTCTGCACAAAGATCAAGATTTAAACTTTAATTTGTGTCTAGTAAAGTACTGTGCCATTCTACAATGTATTGGGGAAAGAAAGAGAGAGGAAAAATTGTTTCAAGTGAAGTATTTGATCAATTTCATACCTTCTAGAATGAACTCTTTCCAATTATGATTAGACAGAAGAAAGCAATTGACAAACCCAGTATCATCAGAATCTTTTTAGGTTTTAACATGACAAATGTCAGTCAACCAAATGGGACAGTCCAAGTCTGTATTCTTCTGATTTATATACAGATTTCCTTAGATTTGACTGAATTCTAGCATGTTAGGATTGTTGCACCTGATGTTAGCACATCTTCTGTGATTAATTGAATTAATTCTGCGGCCCGTTAATTCATTTTGGAACATGGCATTATGAGGTCAGGGTGTTGAGGAACATTTCCAAAGGGGTCATTAAATCAGCTCGAGACCACAGATTTTGTTTATATTGTATGCATGGGTTTTTTGAATTATGTTGGAGGCCTAGAAAAGGAGATGGCCAATTTTTTGAAACCATCATATCCCTGAAGAGGTCCAGCTCATGGGATCAACAAAAGATATCATGCTATTCCAAGAGGTTTGGGATCAGGGAGTGCTATAGTACCTCCCTCCTCCACAGCTTGCACTCGAGGTAACCAACAGACTGGAAGCTATTTCATGTGATGGGACTACCTGACTCTATGGTGGATTTTCCAGCTCTACCTGAAAACTCTGCTCCTGTGGTCTCCTGAGCTGAGCAGAGGGATGAGAGTCGAGCATCAAACTGGGCCATATTATTCTGGATGTGGCAGTAGTCTCATTGTTAAGTGGGCATTACAGGAGGAAATAAAAAAAACATTATGTGGATATTCTCTCAGGGCCTGAGAGCATTTAAAATTCTGGCACATTTAGACACTCACATTTGTGGAGTTGGGAGCATAATACTGTGTATACCAATGTATCCTTAAAAAAAAACACAAAACTGTCAGCTCAATGAATCAAGTTCTACTTGCCTCTTGATTTCAGGACTTTAGCAGATGCAAAATCTCTCAAACCAGTGTCTCCATCTCCATTTTCCTGTAGGTTTGTGGTTGCCCAATTTCTAGTTTCTGATTTGAATATTTCTCAGTACATTAAGTACTAAGTGGTCATAGACTCACTTATTGTTATCATGTCACTAAATAGAAAGACTGTTTGCTTTTTAACCTAATAAGCTCATAAATAATCGTTTAAAGGCAATCTGATATTTTGACATTTAATTTTGCAAGTATTCTCTTAAAAATTTAAAATATGTGATTTGGCCAAGTCAAAGTGCTTTCTTTTCATCCCTGCTGGAACATTTTTAAGTGATATGTATGTATTATTCAATATAAAAGGCATATCTTATGGAGAATACTACTTACCTTCCATGTGAGTGTCTACATTTGATTCTCATGAAACCTGAAAGAAGTGATAAATCAGAGTGATACAGTGAGACTCACTTAGGATTATTTTTCAGGAATCATATACTCTACTTCATTTAACCTGCCTTAGTGATGCATTTTGTTGATTTTAAGAATCTTGATACACTCATTCAAGCATGCATTTATTCTACTCCCTGTTAGCCAAGGTATTTTTTTTTTTTTGGTCAGCTATTCTTTCTGCAATATTTTTTGGTCAGCTATTCTTTCTGCAATGAGCTAACATGAGTAACATGTGATTTCATTTGTAAATATGTTAGAATACACACACACACACACACACACACACATACACCCCTTGCTAGTGGATCATGCTTAGTAACTCCTCAAAGCCATGACTTTATAAGCCTGTCCATATGGAAGGCCATGGCAGATGTGTCCAGACCCTCCCACTTGTCATGTCACTGTGCCCCTAGCCAACACTGATTTGGTGGTTTGTTTAGGACAAACTCAAATTTTATATTAGCCTGTTTATGATGGAAGAGCATGATAATTTGCCAGGCCTTCTTAGTTGTAAGTCTATAAAATTTCATTCTGGCTGCAAGAATCAACTCTAGATGGAAAATATGCTGCCATGTGGCAGGACTGTGATTGTTCTGGCTTGACATTTCTTCTTGGATGTGCTCTTAGTGGTTCATTTCCAGCTGACCCAGCTGGGTTTTCAGCACACCACCTCAGTCAGCATTAAGAGACTTAAGAGTCTTGCTGACCCATGCTTATTTAAAATTCACTTTAGGATGGACGGGAAGGGTGGATAATCTAAAACCACAGAGAATTCCCAAATAATTGCTCTTTGGCATAGATGCAAGAGGTGGTTTTCTACCATCAGGTTGGTCCTTTAAGTCAATTGGGCTCATATTATCTTGAAAATGCCTTTGTTTTCTCTGATTATACAGTGCCTAGCTTTGGGGGTGGGGGAGGGTAAGTGCATCCTGATAGTGTTGTAAGAAACCAGTATGTGCCTAACGTTTTCCCATAAACAACCCACAAAAGGGGTAAAATATGTGATATTGAGAGTAATATATTTTAGCATCTGATGCAAAGTCATTCTCCTTCTATCCAGAGCCTCTGGTGCTGGTGGTGGGCCTTGGGAATGCTTCCTGAGCCCTCTCTTTGTTGATGGTTGTATCAGTTCTCAGGATGCTTTTTGTGAGCTACCCAGGTCCCTGAATTCCTCATCCTTCCTTTGCTGCCCACCTTTTGACTAATTCCCTTACTCTCTAACAGTGCCCATGGATGGTGTGGAACAGGAAATGAAAGTCAAGCTAGGGTTGCTGTTTGGTAACAGGTGGGAATTCCTGGCAAAAATGAGAATCTATGATGCTCTGGGGGTTTCACTGTTCCCTACCTTCTGCTTTTTCTTTGTTGGGGACATGGGGAGTGAGCTGCAAGATGGTGTTCTCTGTCCCACTCCCCCTTCTGAGCCAAAGGCCTGACAATTGAATAGAAGAGAATCAGAGCTTTCCTTCTGTTGGTCACCAAAGGAGGTTATCCCTCTTGTTTTCTCTCTTAATCCACCAAATAATCTCAGAGTTAAGCTATGTTTACTTTTACATTCAGAGTTAAACTTGATGAAAACACGGACAACAAATGGAGTGTAAAACTCCAGAGGAGATTTTTTAAGGGCTGAAGATTTAGAATATGTGAGGATGTGGGTTCTGGCAGCTGCTGTGGCTGCCAGCCCTTCTCCATGTGTCTTCAAGTGGGATATTTATGAGACACTCTTGGGAAAGACACAGAGTAATTGTTAAAAGTTACAGCCTCTTCACCTTCAGTACTAACATTTTATCTGTCTGCCTTTAGGGTGGTGGAAAAGTGATGAATTAGTGGCGGCTACTTGAAGAAGCCTTCCTAGGTTTTGGCATGTTTGCACATTGACAGGGAAAAGACCATGAGAGACTTAAGGACATTAGTCAGGGATCCACACTGGTTTTATATCTGGTCTAGTGTCTACTGCTTTCTGCTGGATGTTGGATTATGACTTCAGTTTCTCTAAGATAATCTGCAACTCTAAATCTCAGGACAAACCTGGCCTCCATCTTTTCTGGGATCCCCAGACTTGCTCTCTTAGGAGCTAGAACTCTAACTTATCCCAGAGCTTTCTATTCTGGCCTAGACAGTATATAGGGTTTATGGGATAAAGTAACCTAGTGGGTAGCTCACCCAAGTTGAAATACAGTAGCCATCATGGGGTCAAGGCAAAGGGAACAATCCTGCTTCCTGAGGATGGGAGACAGGACCCAGGAAATACCTTAGCTAGACTGCACACTGTGTTCCTTTGCTCCTGTCCTTCTTCTTCTTTCACTCTTCCTCTTCCCTTCATGCCCACCCCGTCTCATCTTTCCTGATCATGCAATGTTTTCAGTCTTCTCATAGCACCCACAGCCTTGCCCATGCCTAACTCTCTCATGACATTTGACAGAGTTGCAAGAACCCTGGGCCAGGAGTTTCTTCATTTGAGCTTGATTGAGTGTTGAATTCCCAAAGGGGATGCTCTAGGAGGAGTGGGTTCAGAAATGCCCAAGAAAGAGGGAGGCACAGAAATACTTTTTAAAATTTTAATAGAGTTTTTGAAACGGGCTGGTATCCTTTGGAATTCATGTCTGTTGGAAGCCCATACAGAAGTAGGGCAATGAGAAAAAAATCTTGTTCCCCATCTACATTTATTCAGTACACACATTTCTGAGTGCCACTTGGGCATCTAACCTTGTACTTGGTGCTGGATATAAGGAAATGTCTCAGGTAGAGTCCCTATTCATTTGGAGACCACTTGGAGGATGGACAGCCAGGTTAGCAAATAAGGATGATAAATGATAATCAATGGTCTAATAGAAGTCTGTCTAAGGCAAGTTGGGGGTACAACAGAGGGAGTGGGCAGCTGTGCTGGGGGAGGCCAGTGTCTGGGAAAGACTTTCTGGGGGAGAGTACATCTGCTGCTTTGTTTTCCTTCCGGAATATGATCATCTGCCTTGCTGCAAGTGTGGTCATCTGAGCTGGGTTCCCATTGGGTTATCCCTTCCCAACTGGCTCTTTGGACAATAGGAGATTCACTTTCTCTAGGGATGATTTCCTCTCATGGCTCTGCTTTGAAGGGCATCTTGGTCTAATTTGTATATATTATCTTTCACCAAAAATGTGTGCTTCTCCTCCTGTGTTTTTAATGTCATCTAGTGGCTGTTACCCCAATCATCCCAACCAGAAATTTAGGGGTCACCCCATCTCTCACTCTCCAAACATTGTCTACAAATGTTGTTCACCAAGTTGTATTAATTGCGCCTCTGTCACTGCTCTTGTATCTCTCCTTGTCCCCCAGCTCAAACAACAGCATTGGCCTAGCCCTGTATGACCTCTGGCCTGGAGTCCTGCCTGTCTTCCGTTAACCTTTTTTAAAAAGTCCAGTGTCCACTCTGCAGTTCCATCCTTTTAGAATGCACACC